GTCCATAGAAACTAATGGGAAGCTGCTATTCCGCCTTCGACCACTAGAGGGGGATATTTTGTTTCTTTTTTTCTTAGGTCAAGAAAGGTTAAGGGAAGGCAGGGAAAATACAGTCCAGGCAGTCTGAAGACTGTCTCCCAATCCACTCTCTAAACGCTGGGAGGAGTGAGGAAGCAGACAGGCACCCTTTTCACTGGCCAACAGTTAACTGAACGTTCACATTTTGCACTTTCCCTGCCTCCCATGTGGTTTTTTTTTCAGTTCTTAACTCAAATCTAAGTACTTAAGTCAAGTCAATATTTTCCTATGAGAGTGGTTCTTAAGTCAAAATGTTCTTAACTCGAGCCGTTCTTAAGTCAAGACCCCACTGTAAAGGTTGAAACTTGATCCAGACAATATGGAAGTGCTCCTGGTCCATCACAGGGCAAATCAGGAGATAGGGGTTCAGCCCATACTGAAAGGGATTGCATGCCTCCTCAAACGTCTGGTCCACAGTTTGGGTGTGTTCCTGAACTCGGGACCTGAGCTTCGATGCATACATTTCGGCAGTGGCCGGGTATGCATTGACACAAAGCTGTGAAACTTGATCCAGACAATATGGAAGTGCTCCTGGTCCATCACAGGGCAAATCAGGAGATAGGGGTTCAGCCCATACTGAAAGGGATTGCATGCCTCCTCAAACGTCTGGTCCACAGTTTGGGTGTGTTCCTGAACTCGGGACCTGAGCTTCGATGCATACATTTCGGCAGTGGCCGGGTATGCATTGACACAAAGCTGGTGCACCACCTGCGCCTGTTCCTTGTCTGAGCTGGCCACACATTCTTTAGTTACATCCTGCTTAGACTACTGCAATGCGCTCTACATGGGGCTGCCCTTGAAGAGTATTCGAAAACTCTAGCTGGTTCAAAATGCTATAGGGAAGTATATAACCTCCCTTATTAAAACAGCTTCACACTAGCAGCCGGTCTGTTTCCGGGCCCAATTCAAAGTATTGGTTCTCTTGCCCATAAAGCCCTGTATATCCAAGGTCCAGATTCTTCGAAGAATTGCATCACCAGCATATGAGTCTTCCTGGAGTCCCTTCTGCTTTTAGGCCATAAGAGTGCTTGTTTATTAATTTTCAGTGTTTAAAATGTTTTTTTAAATGGTTTTTAATTTTGATTTTAAAAAAAGTCTTTATATATGTAATCGTCTTTTTTTAAAGTGAGATTTATATTGTATTTTCAAAACAGTTGTTTGTTACATAGTTTTAGTGGTTGTGAGTTGCCTTGAGTCTCCTACGGGGGGGGGGTGGAATGTAAATAAACAAACAATACATTCATACCTCCGTTAGCTGTCTGAATTAATCTGACCAGAAACTGCAATATTTTCCCAAAGTCTGGTGTTCAGAGGCTTTAGGCACTTTTGCCTTTCAGTCCATCTACAGTATGTCTACAAAAACAAACTGTTATTCATTAAGGCTACTTTAAGGCCGAACACCTGTACTTGAAGATAAAGGACCACGTTGTGATAGAAGTATATTTAACTACCTAGGAGCCAGAATACTGTTGTGTATTTCTGCCGCTGTAACACCAGCAGCATAACTTTCAACTGTGAACGGCTACAAATTAAGAAGGGAAAGATACTGGGAAAGGTGGGGGGCAGCAGGAAATGAGGAAGACTCATTACGAGAGGGACGGACTTCCTAAATGAAACCACAACAAGGCTTGAGTCTGCAAGAGCTGAGCAGGGTTGTTGAAGAGGGGACATTTTCGAGGTCACTCATTCATAGGGTCCGTATAAATCAGAGGCAGCTTTATAGCACCTAAGAACAGAAAGAGGAGGCATTTCCTGTCCTCACCATGTCATGTAAAAGGTATGCGATAGGAAATTATCCTACATTTTGCCACTGAAAACTAAGCTTTATATGGGCAGGTGTTATGGACAGTGGGACGATAGATCCCAGATTTTAAAGCCCTTTCTGAATCCTTCTAACTCTCCTAATGCTTGATTGCCTTTTATCATTTCCCAAGCTAGTAGGATTACTGTTACAGTTTTTTTAATTTTTAGTGGATGTGCAGGGATTTACAGAGCGGAATAGCTTCAAGCTTCCCAGATTAGTCTACCCCTTTTTTCTCATTAACTGGCACTTACAGTCTTTAATAACTCCCTCCGATGAATTAGTAAGCAAAAGAATTCATTGTATTCTCAAAGGCTTTCACGGCCAGGATCTGATGGTTGTTGTGGGTTTTTCGGGTTCTTTGGCCATGTTCTGAAGATTGTTCGAGCATGGACAGAGTTCCTACTCCAGTCCTCTGAAGATGCCGGCCACAGAGACTAGCGAAACGTCAGGAAGAACAACCTTCAGAACACGGCCAAAGAACCCGAAAACCCCACAACAACCAAAATAATTCATTACTTCCCATTGAACAAATTGAACAGCAAACTGACGAACGTGACTGCTTTCAGCAAAAGACTTCAACAGATGACTTCCAACACACAAAAGAGAGGTAAAGGGACACCGAGCAGAGAGGCGGAGCTCTCTGAATTCAGAGGCAGGGAGCACAGGTTTCATTTAAGTGACATGGACAAGGAACTAAGTCCAAATTTTGGTTGGTTATGCTTAGGTCCCTTGGAAGAAAAATGCCATAAATCCATCCATTGGGTTCAGTACCCATTGCTTGGCAAAATGCATTGTTTTTCTTTGCTGAAACATGGAGCCCTCTCCCAGTTATCTTGGAGGTAGTCTCTGTAATAGCTGGCCGTATAGCTCAGTGGGTAAGAGATCTGGTTGGGAGTTCAATTCCCCACTCTGTGCTTGCTTGGGAGAAGAGCCAACCTGGGTGGCCTTGGGCCAGCGACACAACAGTCCCGAGGCTCACCCCAGAAGCAGGGAAGGGGAAACCCCTTCTGGATATCCTTCTGGGCCGTCTCTCTTGGATGCGACTCGGGAGTTCCTGTTTGATGATGGCTTTGGTCCTCCTTGCTGGAGGAGAAACCCCTGAGAGTGGTACTGGGGGGGGGACCTCTAGCTGTAGGCCTGGCGTTTCCTCAGGGATCAGTTTTGTCCCCTATGTTATCTAACATCTACATCAAACCCCTGAGAGAGGTTGTCCGGAGTTGGGGGGGGTGTGTCAGTATCACCAGTACACCAATGAAAACTAATTCCTTGCCACCTAAATCCAAGGAAGCTGTTTCGACTCTAGATCCGTGTCTGGTGTCAAGTCATGGACTGGATGAGGGTGAATAAACGGACGCTTAATCCTGACAAGACCGAGGTGCTCCCAGTCAGTGGAAAGGCAGATCAAGGAATAGGGGACGCAGCCTGTGCTGGATGACGTTTACACACCCTCTGAAAGCAAAGGTGCACCAGCGGGCAAAGACTCCTGGATCCGTCCCTGACCCGGGATGCCCAGATTTCAGGGGTGCCCAGGAGTGCCTTTCCATGGTTAAAACTCGTGTGCTAGCTGTGCCGTTTCTTGAGGGGGGGGGTCTGATTCAGCCACTGTGACACCGGCCTAAGTTACATCTCAACTAGATGACACGCAGAGACGGGCTCAAGCGACAGCGAGTCAGATTTCGCCTAAATATCAGAGAAAAACTTCTTAACTGTTAGAGCAGTACGACAAGGGAATCAGTGACCTCAGGAGGGGACGAGCCCTCCGACACTGGAGGCCTTCAAGAGAAAA